ATTTTTAGGGGACTTCAACAATAAAAAAACACTCCGTAGTATGATGTTCGTCATTTACTCCCCCAGAAAAAAATAAACAATAACAAGTAAGCTCCCCTACGCCTAGCAGCCTTGCTGTTCAAAAGAGAAAAATTTACCTTCACGATAATTTCTAGTAACACTTTTACTGTTAGTATGCTTTTTGTCCCAACAACACACCTTTTACTGAAAGCATATTCACACGCCCTTTCAAGTATCGTTTAAAAATAGCTACCCTCTTTCAGTAAGCTTCTTCTAAACTAAGCACTTTTCCGGGCAAGTCTTCCTCAAATCTCAGAGTTCGAACAGCTCTCTGTAGAGAGCACTCCTCCCCCGGGTGTAGAGAACACATGTACAAACCTTACTTATAAAAGTCACTTGAGTTAATTATTGGGAGTTAATTAACACTTAGGTAGTGACAGATTTTTGTTTTTCGTAGGAAGTAGTTATAGTATGTCACACTGTTTTTTAAATGAGAGATAGAAAAACGGATGAAGTCCAAACTGGGCTTAAAAGCGAATGTCTCAGTTACTCAAATAAAACTCAAACAACGCCATCATANGGGGACTTCAACAATAAAAAAACACTCCGTAGTATGATGTTCGTCATTTACTCCCCCAGAAAAAAATAAACAATAACAAGTAAGCTCCCCTACGCCTAGCAGCCTTGCTGTTCAAAAGAGAAAAATTTACCTTCACGATAATTTCTAGTAACACTTTTACTGTTAGTATGCTTTTTGTCCCAACAACACACCTTTTACTGAAAGCATATTCACACGCCCTTTCAAGTATCGTTTAAAAATAGCTACCCTCTTTCAGTAAGCTTCTTCTAAACTAAGCACTTTTCCGGGCAAGTCTTCCTCAAATCTCAGAGTTCGAACAGCTCTCTGTAGAGAGCACTCCTCCCCCGGGTGTAGAGAACACATGTACAAACCTTACTTATAAAAGTCACTTGAGTTAATTATTGGGAGTTAATTAACACTTAGGTAGTGACAGATTTTTGTTTTTCGTAGGAAGTAGTTATAGTATGTCACACTGTTTTTTAAATGAGAGATAGAAAAACGGATGAAGTCCAAACTGGGCTTAAAAGCGAATGTCTCAGTTACTCAAATAAAACTCAAACAACGCCATCATAACTTTCAATTAACCCCGGTTGAAGCCTCCCCAAAACTTAAACAGGGGATACCAAAATTACTCTCGAACTTCACTGGACGCCGGAACCAAGAGACTGGGAGAGCGATTTGTATCGGACCACAGGGCTTGAGATAGGGGATCGAACGACTGTATGAGACGTAGGGAAACGGCGTTTTCGCCCATTGGTCCTAGAGATCCATTTAGCCAGCCTAGCAGTAGCGTTACTAAAGGAGCGCGACTGTATGGAAGGATGGGGTAAAAAACAGCAACAACTTTCTTCTTATTCATGCCACTAGTCACAGATTTTTGCGATTGTTTTTACAGTTATTTGGTGGGGGGAGGAGGGGTGGGGAGGGGGTGGGGAGGGGTGGGGCAGACGGTCCAAATTTGTTTATGCTTCAGCGTAGCTCAATCATTGTCAAATGTCCAAATGAGGATTAATAACCGCCGCCTGCTTGGCATGAAGCTGATGGTCTGGAAATAGCATTACCATTGTACGGTGTGATGTAGATTATTTTTCTTATCTCTTTGGGTAGACATACGTGATCGTACATTTTAGCTGGGGAGGTTAAAGGACTCGCCACTGGCACGATCTTTATTTGGGGGATGTATGGATAATATATATTTGAACCAAAAACCCAGGGGGAGGGTACTCCCTATATTGGCCTACGAAAGCTAGGGTAGGAAATTTCAATCTGTAAAAAGGACTACAAGGGCTAACAGGTGCAATGTGTGGCTGTGAAAAAGTCGAGAAAACATTCTGGGTTTTGTGATTTATTCTTATTTTAAAAACAGTGCATTTCTCAAAAAGGGGCTGCTCGTATTCCAATATGCCACTGCACGGTAAGACCCCAAGGGCGGTGATGAGCTGATGCTGCCTCGTTCCTCTCCGCCAACTAAGGTTAAAGGAAAACGCAAAGGTCCTTAAAAAAGTCAGCTACAAAAATTTAGTCACCACTAGTTTGCGTCTCCGCTCATCCTGAAGTGTCTTGCGCGACTTGAATATTAACCTCGATCCTCTATATTGCATCTGGGTGCGGGACAGAAGCTGTTGTAGTGTGTATGGCGAACATTACTTACATAATAAGTACGAATACCAACACTTCGTCATCAATTCAATGCAATACACAAATATTTTTAATTTTGCTATTTACATACAAAGTATCGGAATACATTTAAGACAATTCTTAGAAAAACACTGTCGCTTAATGAACTTACGGAACCAATAGTCCAAACAGCCGGAAACTATAAACTTACTTTCATGCAATTTACAATTAGCTGGAACCTAAACCCCCTCCAGTATGGAAAGGTTCACACCCCTAAACTATCAGCGTGATCTCCACACCGAAATTACGATTATCGTCATTTTTTATCTGGCCTCAAAATTACGATAGTTACGATAGTCGTCATTTTGAGGCCAAGTAAGAAATAACGATAATCGTTATTTCGGTGTCGAGATCACGTTGAAACTATCTAGGAATTGCGAAACGTTGGTTCACGTTCCAAAATTCAAGAATGAACAGAGAATTGGGGGACCTAAACTCGTTTTCTTAGCAATGTCACAATATTTAATGTTGAGCAGGATCGAATGTTCATTACCTCATATACTTCAAATGACTAACTTTGTTCATTGTAGTGAGCAAGCAGACTCTGGGTTCACCTGTGGCTCTGTCTTCCTTCTCCACCCTTAACTCCAGGATCTTACTTGCATGTTAAAATGTAATTATTTGTCATAAAACAATTCTAGAAAGCTGAGTAGCATGATGGCTATTAAGACGAAACGGCCAAAGCACAAACAACTTGCAAACTAAAACCCATTTTGTCGTGAAGAGAGCGAACTTTTCCCAAAATTTGTTGTCCCTCTGCTGCTTCTGTTTTTTTGTTTTGTTTTTTGTTTTTTTTTTTACCCCCTGCAACCAGATTCCCTTCCCTCGGCTATCAATACCTCCTGGAAGGCAACATAAAACCCCTCGAGTCCTTTTTAACAAAAACCCTCACCCACAAGCGATCTAATTCGCCAAAAAATCCATCGCAAAGGCCTCATCAGTACAGCTTAGATATACTATAGCCTGCGAGAGCAGACGGCTTTCTTGTTCTTTTTTCACACCCGCAAGTGAAAACAAACTCGGAAAGGCGTCCACTCTTACATCCTTGATATACTACCAAGTGTACCAAAAAGATAGATACAAGATAATTTCTTATAAATTGTTTACATGAAAACTGACACTAAGAACTTACAATTGAGTTGCAAATCTGTTATAAAGGAGGACTGATAAAATAATTGTTCCTGTGGGCTCCATGTTTCTGCAAGACCGTCAAGCCGTCTATTTTAACAAGTTTCACTCCCAGATATTGACAATTCGTAAAATCCAACTAGTGGTCTATTATCAATGCTGCGTTCTGATTGGCTGAACTATAACTAGGCTATATGTTATAGCCCACTAGTAGCGAAAAGCGCGGGCTTTTTGGCGGCAAAAAGGAATAAAGTCTAGCTTTAACAAGCTAAACTTTTTTAACCAACTAGTTGGATTTTACTAAAACAATTATTCTAAAGCACAGAGAAAGGAGCAAATGTTAATTCATATATTACATTTTCAAACCTCTAGTTAACCTAATTTTTCCCGTCTTGAAAATATCTCACAAGTATCCCGTTTGTGCTCAATAAAACAAAACCTCCACAGCACCCGGCATTAAGTGCAATAACGTCTCGGGAGAAACAAGAAACAAACGTTACACCCTTGACAGTTCAAACTGTTCTAGGTTTTAAAGGTTGTATGAGGTTGCCAATAGAAACACGTTTACGGCAAACGGCAAACGGCAAATTCTACCAAGGGATTAAGTTTTCCTTTTACTTGCCATCTGTCGTTTATTTTATCCCCCCCCCCGCCCCCTAAAATAAGTAGTTTCATGTAAGTCTCATCAGAGATAATTGTTTTTGACAGCTTTTACCAGCTGACTTTCTAATTTGAGATATTTTCAACTTGAATCTCGCGTTTGCCGTTTGCTGTAAACGGGATTCTAAATCTCTCTAATGCTTTAGCGCGTCAACCGCTGACATACCCTGTGTGGTAAGCGCTCGAAAAAACAAAAAAAACCTTTGAGAGTTAATGGTGGTTTGAACAACTGACAAATGGAAAAAGTGGCTTGACCGCAAAGCGTGCGGTCCACCACAAAATTTGTCTCCTAGCTCATAATTTTATGTTTTTTCCATCTTTGGTAAGGTTTAAGTTGTATGCAATTGTTTTTACTCAAGGAAGGTCACGTGACTGCAAACTGCAGGGGGGGAAGCGGGTTCTAGACTACAAACCAGTCAATTTTGATTGGGAAACTAATGGCTGTATCATATTATCTGCAAAACTACTGAAAAAACTTGAAAGTCAACAAAACAGTTTTCCGCGCCTGGCGAGAGTGAGCGCCCCGAGCTACCTTTCGAACACCTGCTTTGCGCCCTCCACCACTAAAATGCGGTTCTCTGATTCACCCGTGGGGCGTCAGAGTCAAAAATGATTGGTTGGTCTTTTACGAGTAATTGAGGCAGGCGTCCTCATTTTTCGAAGAAGACAGATGTCCACTTATACGTTTATACCGTCCAGGCTTCCCTCTAAGTTTGAAAGCTCGTGAACGATGATAAGGAAAATTTGCGGTCAATAAAACGGATAAATGTCGTTATCGTGTGGACAGCGGTAAACACATAAATTTGTATGCGTTAACAATGTGGACATAGTCTTAGTGATGGAGCGCGTAACAAGGTTTGTCATCTTGCGCGCTTTACAGTGCAGTTAAAACAAACGTTAAAATTCAGTTTTTAAACTGACTATGCTTCTTGTAACAAAAATTCCCCATTTTTTTCTAATTCTGTTGTGGTTTATATGACAAAATGCTTTTAATAACCGCCTGCTGTGATTTGATGGATTGGTGACTTGGCGGCCTCACTGCAACGGGTTCCAAGCACTCCGCGGGTGGAACGTACACGCTCTGTTGGGTCTGGGGACGAGCGGAGTGTCGGGATGCTGACGGCCTTTGGTGGGAGAACACACGCGGGGAAGAGCGGGACTGCAGCCTACTTCGTATTTCTAAAAAACAAAGCATTTAGAGATTAAAGCAGTTCAAGGCTTTTTGTCCAGTGAAATAGGACCCTAAATCTTTCGTCACTTGGCACTAAGGTTACATATCTACCAGTTCGTTTTTCACTAACGAGTTTTTCCTTTTTTTTTTGCGACCAACCTTGAGGCTGACTAGCCTGGGTCGCTGGCGCTTTGTTTGGCGGGAGGGAAAAGAGCTGCGAAAAACGCGCGGAAAGCGCGCGCGAACGAAAACAAACCGGTTTATCGTTGTTCCCGCCCCATTATCCTTGCGGCTTCGCCGCTCATTTCGACAAACAAAACCGCCAGCTACTGGAGACTGGCTTGAAATCACAATTTTTTTGTTGTTAACAGCTATCCAAAATTGAGCTCAGAGTGACTCTGGATTGACATACTTTCCGTTAATTCAAGAAGAGCGGTATTATCTTTCAAAAAAAAACAGTGAAAGTACCTTCAATTTCTGCTTCTGCCGTTCCAGGCCTCGGTTTGCTCCGTTCAGTCAGCGCTTCTTTCTTTTTCTCCAAGGCAATAAACGGAGAACTGGGCTTAGATCCGGGACTTGTCCATTCATACTGGGTGTAACCTTGAGCTGAGCCGGCCGAGCGAGGCGTTCTGGGAAAAAAGGCGGTGAAGGTATAAGTGAAATGAAACCAAGTACAGTTGAACCTCTCCGCAACGGCCACCTTGAGGACAGAAGTAGGTGGCCGTTGTAGAGAGGTTTAAACAAGAGTCAATGTATGGACTGTCTGCCCGGACAAAATAAAGTAGCCGTTGTATAGAGGTGGCCGTTAGCGGAGGTTCTACTGTAATTATTAGACTGCTTGAAGCCCGCCTTTTCTCTTAAAATCCGTCTAGTTCTTATCTCAGCCGACGCAATTGCAAACCACGACGTTATGTTTAATTTTTCTTCTTGGGCTTATGCCCTCGTTTATCGCGGTTCGCGTGCAGCAACTTTGAAAAGAAAAATAAGAGACTGCTCTCAGTCTAGTGATTATTTTTGACACATGCTTTGTTCTTGTTAATGTTGTTGTTGTTTTTTTTTATCACTTGTTGTATTTTAACGCCACATGTTAGTGGTTATCTCTAACGTTAGATTTCAAGCAATTGACCCCTGAATCTAATCAGAGAGCGTGTTCACTATCGTTAGCTTTCACCCAGGTTTTCACCAGAACGCTCAAAAGAAAGTGCTGGTAAATACGCAAAGACGGAATACATGTAAAGACATTACTCTAAGCCACGGCAGGTTTTTAGTGAGTTCCCCTGTTAACCTTTTGTTGCTAGGGAATTCAGTATTAGGTTTTAACAGAAGCCTTGGTATTACTAAAGAAATGTCAGCAGAGACAAGATTTAAGGCTGTGATCAGTAATCACTGTATGTCTCTAACAAAAAAGAGAATTATCCTTTCTTGTTTCCGAAAATGGAAATCCAGAGAAAAGATCAAATCGGCTAGTATAGAAAATTACGAACAAGAAAGTTGTGCCAATATTGATGCGCCCGTTTGCACGGGGCTTAAGAGGAGAGTGTTGACTGTATTACATAGGGAGCTTTAGCAACGACAACGACTAAGGCAGTGAAAACGTCACTCATTAAAGGAGCTGTGTCACGAAATTCAGCAAAATTAAGAAATTACAAAATGCCCGTTAAATTAAGAGAAACATAAAACTAAGCGTTTAAATCTTTAAAGGAAGGTTAAAATAATATAACAGAAACAACAGATGCCACGGATGGGCAAAACTGAAGAAAATTGAAATGGATTGAAATTAGGGTTTTAGAAAACTGTTCAGCCTAACAGTTTTTCAAAGTTGATCCCTGCTGCTTGCAACTTCAAAAATAATGCTCAGGAGACATATTTGTTTGTCTCGGATCTCTGATTTTGTCATTTACCTGTAACTTCTTTGCTTACAAGTTTTAAGTTCCATAGCGATTGAGAGCGAGTAATTGGCAAAATTAAACAAAATGAACTGGACTGCCATGACACAGCCCCTTTAAAAAGGCTTCGCTTTTTTCAAACTTGCTCGCGATTATTCCGAGTTGTGTAAAATCTTAAATATAGTTGAATTTCCCCGGAATTGAATTCTTAGGGGCTGCACCCAAGTTTACAGGAAGAAAGAAAAAGTTCTCGTCTTTTGCTAATGTCCTCTATAAAACGTCTCTTCAGCAAATTTCACGTCTTTGTCGTACAGTGACGGCAAAGAAGTGTAATGCAAGTGATGCACGTGTAAAGTTTTAAGCCTATCGCTTTTTTGACGTTCTCGTTCCCGTTGCCGTTGCTTAAGCTTCCTGATGAGCATAACAAGCGCGATCTAAGTCAGAAGATGGCATTGCTCGTTAACAGTTCGACCGGCGCTGGATATATTTGTCGGTGCTTTTATTAAGACGTTTTCATTAATCCTTCATCAGTTAAAATAATAAAGCTTTTAAGTGTATACAACGCGGGTCAAATGGGAAGACGAACACAAAAAGCTCCAACATAAAGGGGGTGGTTTCTATGTTCGAACATGAATCTGACTCCAAAGCCAAGTTCAAGAAGACCAAAAAAAATGGATTTTCAAGAAGTCACAGTTGTTGGACCCAAGCCTTATTGGTATATGCAACAACTAGTCTTGCAAGCTTGGTTGACACTAACGGATCCGCAATCAGGGAACGACCATCTCCACATCCCAGAAGTCTACAAATCTTTGGCACGTGCACGAGTTTTGCGCTACGTTTTTTGAAACTCTACACATAAGATACTCAGCACGCATGTTCGACACACTACCCCTTTAATACAATGTAATATTCCAACTGATGTAGGCTAAGCACTAACTGAAGCACCTTGAGAAAAACATTGATAAGAATAGCGAGTGTCACCACTTTGAATCCAAATCTAAGGTATGGGTACAACGAGCAAAAAAACGTGCAACTTATTGCAATATTGCTGCCAAAACAAGTTGAATAACGATGTTGCGAGCATTTTACCACCCACGAATAATTTGCGGCAAATCAAGTTGTTCCCTATGGCGGTAAGTTGTTGCAGAAAGTAGAGAGCAGTTCAAAAAAATCTGTACAAGTTGTAGCCTGTGTGCAGACGTCCCCACTCCCGCAGGAAAAATCAGAGAGTCTCCTTTCCCGATTTTTCCAAAGGGAGGGGGTCGTCTGTACACAGGCTATACAAGTTGCCAGTTTTACCGGACTAGGGCAAACTTGTTTTGCAGCGAGTGACGTAAGTTCCCTGTATGTCGTGACTCCCGCGCAATTTTATCCAATCAGAATTCAGTATTCTCGCAACTTGCAGCAACCTGACTTACGGCAAGACAGGTTTGAATGTGGGTGATATTAAAATCGCAAACATAATTATTTGCCCGTTTTTCTACCCTTTTACCGAAGCTTTAACCATTTTGAGTCTCATTACAGAGGTCGCAATTTCATCGTCATCACACAATTAGCACACATCGACTCACACCATGAATACTTCATGTATTAAAAGAGATGAATAATTTTCATGAATTTCAGTTCGACAGCTCCTAGCAGTAAAAAAAACGTCTTTCACATACAGTACCTTGGTTTTTCTGCTTCTTCTTTCTCCCGTTTTTTCCTTTCTATTTCCTCTCTCTCCTTCTTCTTCGCGTCATTGTATTTTTGAATTTCATCCAAATCGAGGCTGGATTCCTGCTGCAGTAGCTGATCATCATACATGGGAGATTTCATGACTTCATTGTATCCATCCCTGAATTCACGGTCTGAGGTGCACACTGCACGGATCATGTCCAGGACAATTTCTTTTTCTGATTAAAATCAAAATATATAATTTCGTTAGCTTTTTTACCCATCCTGTATAATCCATATGTTATTATTGCAACACCATCTTGAAGCAACATACACAACAAGTAAAAGTTTGGATAAATGTAAAGTTGCTAGAGTGACGATGGTGTTTGCAGAAAGAAGCACTTTTTTTCGGTTTCTACTTCACTGCAGTGGAGTCAACAGTTCGCTTTATTTGCTGAGTAAGGGGAAGGGGCTTAATTTTCTTTCCCAAATAGCGGGGGGGGGGGGGGGCTTGGTTAAGACCCCAGGGGGTACTCCACAAATGTTTATACAGAGGAGGCTCCGCCCCGCGGTCCAACCCTTACACTTTTATGTACCATTTTTCACAAAAAAAGGTACCCCTTTGACATACCTAGTTTAGAACTTTGCATCCCTTTTAACTGCTGTAAATGCACTGTCTTTTAAATAGGAATCAATCACAAAAATAGAACGTTTTCTACTCTTTATAAAGCCATAAAATTCGGCATCTGTTAGCCCTTTGGGCCCTTTCACAGACCCAAATGACAGACTTCCCTACCCTTTGATATACTTCAACTAGTGAAATCCCTTTATCCTTTCATATACATGAACTGGCCTGAAAAAGGTACCCCTTTCAGGCGGAGCCTCCCCATATAGGCCATCATAGGGAGTATACCCTCCCCCTAAGGGGGTTGAGATGGGGGCTTAATAGACAATTTACGATGTATATACTCATTTCAGTGCTCTTTTGTCTGAGAACTCAATCAAATCAATTAAGTCAAATCAAGTAAGTGACTCACTGCGTGTAAAATTACTCACAAAATTAATGCTCTTAAAAAATGTCATATGAAATTTCCTATTTACCGATATGTTCAGCTATAAAATGTTAATCACATCTGTGCTTTATGTGATAGCAGATATCATATTTATTTGATTAAGTGCTCAACCTCGAACAAGCACTCACCCAGGCTCGAATAACCGCCTTTCCTAATGGTAAGAAAAGTTAATAAGCGCCCAGCCTTGAATAAATGTCCATCCTGCTTTGAAATATCTACACATTTTGTTGCAAAACAAAATTACTTAAAATTGTTGAAAATTGGGAAAATTTAATACACACCCGGCCTCGAATAAGCGCCTACTCTAAAGGTCCAAAAATTTAACAAGTGCTCAGGGCACTTAATCCAATAAATACAACATAGCGTAAGAAACTTCACACAAATTTTGTTTCGTTGCTGTTTTCTCTGTTTCTTTTTTTGTTGTTGTTGATGATGATGCAAGAAAACCACTACTCACACCAGATCTTAAGTACATGTAAGTTCAGTATTTCAAAAGGAAGAAAAACTCTGTACCTTTTTCTGGAGCATACACTAGCCATGATTTAATATCATCAGGATGAGTTGGTTGCAAAATGTTTATTAACATATTCAGCATCTAGTAGAACAACAAGCAAAACTTGATGAAACATCATTTACGTAACTGTTAGCCCGCACCGTTCCCTTTCTACTCATCCATGCGTGCCCAATGCACTCTCCAGCACCCAAATTCCCCTTTTTCCTTTTAATGCCTGCTATGCAGGCTAGACTCTACATATCTTGTGTAATACAAATGTTTCTAATAAAGTAATGTTAATCAAGTGTCTCAATTCTTTTGAATTACAGAATTGTAATAAGCAGAGATTGAGACCACAGTAACAATCAGGGACAGACTCAAAAGCAAAAAGGAAAGAAAGTAACATTGCTGTCATTATTTGGCTTACATAATCGTTGCAGAAAGTCTTAAGATCTCCTTTGGGACTAATTATGGAGGCTTGCTCCTAGTAGTGTAAAGAGGTGCATTATTGGTGAAATTTAGATATTTAAGATGCATGCATGTATTGTTTCCTTAGTTTAGGAACTATACTTCACCTGAAATAATCATTATCATTATTTAATTATTGATTTCTGCTTATAGACTCTAAATTTGTTTAATCTATCTTCTTACTATCCAGCAGGAAGATGAAGGCTATAATAAATTCATGTAAGATATACAGTAAGTAAAACTAAGGTCTTCACTTACAGTAAGATCACTGTCAGAGTCAGCAGCAATATGCTGCAAAGGAAGGCTCTGTGGGAGAGGGCGATCTCCCTGCCTGGACTCTCCTTGCCTAGATGGAGGCTTCTCACCATACCTTGATGGTGGTTTTTCTCCATTCCTGGAAGGAGGCTTTTCACCATTTCTTGATGGAGGAGGGAGCTCCTGTCCTCTGGATGGTGGTGGCCTCTCACCTTGCCTGGATCCCTGCCGTGATGGTGGCACCTGGTAACTTTTTGTGTTAGTGTAGGGGTTCTTGCTTTTGATGCCAGCAGCTTCTGTTAACTTTCTGAGCTCCTCTCGCCATGTTTGAGTTATTGGAACTGAAATTGAGAGCATGTAATGATATTTAATTCAGTGCCAGATCCAGACCTAGGACTTCTACCTGAATGAACAAGAAAGGTCGATATAGAACAACTGCCCAGTTTTTTTCTACCGGTTGAAATGCTATTACATGTTATACATCCTAGAAGCAACTCAGACATAATAAATATCATGTCAGGACTTCTACCTGGATGAACCAGAAAGGATATAGAACAACTACCTAATTTTTTTTCAGCTATAGGTGGAAATGCTAAACATGTTATATATCCTAGAAGCGCTCAGGCACAATAAATGTCATGCCAGGACTTCTACCTAGCTGAACCAGAAAGGATACAGAACAACTGCCTATTTTTTTTCTACGGGTCGAAATGCTAAATGTGTTATATATCCCAAGAGCTCAGGCATAATAATATGCCAGGACTTCTACCTGGATAAACCAGAAATGGTATTAATAGAACAAATGCCTATTTTTTTCTGCGTGTCAAAATGCTACTTTAAACGTGTTATTCTTAGAAGTGCTCAGGCTTAATAATATGCCAGGATTTCTGCGACTGACTTGGCAGAGTGCAAGAAGGGATAATTTGCCCGACTTGTAAATAGATATTTCCTTCAATCGATTGAGTCACTGGTTATGCAGGAGAACGTTTGCATTGTTTTGTTTTACTGAAGTTTAATCAAAGAAAGAAAGCTTAAGCGAAAATAGGGAGATCGCAGTATATACTCTTACGAACTATAAATTAGGGCTGACCTGGAAAACATGTTGAATAATCGTTCCACCATCCTTCAAAATATAATCTGGCTGTGTTTAGGGAGACAATTTCCTCTTCCATCCAGATTTACTTGGTATGTTTGTTTGCTAGAATCTTCAGACATAGTATTGGGTTTACAAATTCGAATGGCTTGGCAATACTAAGTCCTTGAGTCTATAAATTACCAATCACAACATGTTTTGGAAGTATTGAGAAGTACGCCAAACGAGGTTATCGCAGGAGAGCAAACACGGTCGCGACCTGGATTGATAAATTACTATTACATGAGCTGTCATGCCCGTGATTTCTCCTTTCGTCACATAGTGAATAGTTTGTAAGCACATCCTCGACTCTTGAAACATTAATTTCGTCTTGCGCCTCTATAGAAAGTTAAATTTCCCGCAAACTGTAGGTAGATCTCCTGCTTAACATAATATTTGATAATTTATGCAAAAGATGACCTCATGACAGTCAGAATAAAGTGCATTTATCGACTCAAAAATAAACAGACTTCCTACAAAGAGGTTTGAACATGGTTTTAATTAAATTACTTTATGAGCCCTGCAGTAGTTGACCACAAAAGTGTTACAATGATGGATACTCAACTGGATGATTACGTCAATTCATAGCAACCAGAGTCACTACGCATTTTTTAACTTCTCGAACGCGGAGGCTTGTGATGTTTTAAAGTGAATTTTCTGTGTTTGGGACAATGAAATCCTGGCCACGTCACTGCGATGAGACAGTTGTTAAAATAGATAGGCTGTAGGCTGGGAAAGAAATTTCGGGCCAACAGCCTAACCTAGCCTAACCGCTGCCTGGTTAGCTCAGTTGGGAGAGTGCCGGTCTGCTGACCGGGAGGTCGCGGGTTCAAACCCCGGCCAGACCAACACTTAGGGTCTTTAAATAACTGAGAAGAAAGTGCTGCCTTTGTAATGACATCTGCAAATGGATAGACTTTCTAGTCTTCTCGGATAAGGACGAAAAACCGTAGGTCCCGTCTCACAGCACTTTCACTGATCTGTTCTTGTGGGACGTAAAAGAACCCACACTACTGTTTGAAAAGAGTGGGGGACGTAGACCCTGGTGGTGTGGCCAACCTTAACGGGACCTGTGACCTGGGACCTGGGACCTGTGAGTCCCGTTCGTGCCTATCCCCTCTGGGCAGGCCTGTGTCCAGAAAAGCTTGTAAAACTAAGGTCACTGGACATTGCAGAGGTTTGACCACGTTTAAAAAAAGTATTGAAAATCAAGTGAATTTAACACGGAAAAAAAAGTCATCATAGAAGCCTTGTTGCATAATTTATAGCGAGAAAGAACTAATGACAAGAAAATTAAGGCAACTTAACATTTTTCCTACATGATTGTGGCTAAATGTAGTCATGATCAACAACTTCACTGCTGTGGCAAGAATGTTTTCTGTCCTTTTTTTTTTTTTAGTTTATCAACTTCTTTCCAACATTTTTGGCAACATCATCTTTAAATGTTTTTCTTTTTTTTTTTTTTTTTACTTTTCCTCTTTACTAGTAGCAGAGCTCTCGCATGCGCAAAGCACGCGCCAATGGAGCACCATGGGCAAGTAAATCTACCCATCCCAGGAAATTTGATAATCATGTGACCGTACACCAACTGCCTCCGACCGTCCGTCCACACCACAGGCATACCATTGTAACATAACTCAATCAACAGCCTGTATGGCAACCAAAACGCAAGTCGAGGTTATTTTGGCGGGAAATCACATAGCCACCCGTGTCACAACTAAAGAGTAAATAAAGACGAAAACGGAAAGTGGAAATTGTTTCTGTATCCGTGTTGCCTAAAGTATTAAGCTTAGATTAATTGTCATGTCCACAAATTTGGAATATAGAGCAAGAGAAAGACAGAGAAAAGAGAAAGTAGGTGGCAGGCCCACGAAGCTCAACAATAAAAAGGGCGACAGAGATCTAGAGTGAGAGAGAAAAAAAACAAAGGAGCTATTTTTTGTTGGAAGAATAACATGAAAATTTTGTAGCGGAGGTGACAACATGAGGAATTCTAGCGGCCACCAATGCAAGGTGAAAATGAGCAGAAGTGAAACAAAAAGTGAACAAGAACACCTACGACATTTCCTCCAAAAAATGTGTAACTAAAAAGTTTCTGGAACTTTCACGTTGTAGTCATAAAAAAAAGCAACGGCAAAGAAATGTACAAAAAAAGTGTGCTGCACGTGCAAAAATGCTTTTTTGCTAATTACACCTATTGTTAATTGTTTTATCACTGTTCTCGTTCCCTTTGCTGCTTATTACGTGATTTTATATTTTGTTTGAACAAACTTTAAATATCGTCGAGAGCTTGATTGCTTTTCGCCCTGGCTAAATGTATACATTATATAAATGTCAATAAGCCTAATTTTTATGCCGTAAGCAAGCAATGTGCACTTAAAATTATTTTTAATAATTTATCTCTGGTTTCACAATAATTGGAAATCCTCTTTAAGCAATGTTCAGCTCAATTTGACAAGCTAAAGAAATTTGCATACGGATAAAACTAAATATTAAAGTCCTTTCGTTTATTCTATTATAAAGGAAAAGCAGTTTAGAAAACTGAATTTCTAACTGACTTAGACTAAAAAAAGAGTTTTGATCTGTCTGGCAGAACAACGTCGCATACAAATAGGGAAACCATTGTTGTATTTATTAAGTAGTTATAAAAACTCACAATGAATTCAGAAGTGAAAGGCAAACAAAACCAGGCCGTAAATCCTGAAAAAGATTACCTCTATTTATTCTTAAAATCCTTCTTTCAGACAGTAAATTAACATTCACAAATTTTGGCTGTCCAGAAGCTTTTATAAATCAATTTAATTTATTAATGCCACTTAAATGAAAGCTGAAGTTTATGTCACTGTTGAAAAATGCCGCAAACATTTTGTTATTGGAAGGACAGAACTTACACAAAGTTCGTAACCTCTAAGGTCTACTTTTTCAACGCGACAGGAAATAAGCTATTTCTTTAATTAAGAAAGGCAACATAAGACATTCAAGTTCGCTAGTGACATCGAAGAGGGGTGTCATATCTTCTCTCACTCACAACAATTCATCGTTGCTAAGTGCAATTAGAACATCATTATAGTTTTCTTTAACATCAAAAAGGCGTCATACTTACCTAATCCAATGGTTGGAACAGCTTTTTCTTTAGCGAATACAACTTTATCAGCATTGATTGGCAATCTCAATCCCTGGTTGGATTTCAAAGGTCTTTGGCGCATTTGGTCGATTGTTGGAGTGCAAACCATGTATCTTCCTACATTCTCTTCCACGCCAGAATCAATTACCGTACAAACTGGAATGTCTAAAAGTCCTTTCATATGTCTTACCCTTTGTGGATGCGGGTTATGTCTCGCAAAGAAAGGATTTTTGCTATTCCTACTTGGAAAGCTACTTGTACTTAGCGACGACGAACTTCTTGGCCATGCATACCGACTTGTTAGAGGCATTTTGTCGTCGAAATTTTCTTGAACTGTGCCTCTAACCAGAAGTGGTTGCCCTCCGCTTGGCGTAAACGTAGGCATATCTTCCATTCCCTGGTAAAAACACAAATAATCTAATGTTTACGCCGTTATCTCGGGAACTAGACTAACTTTTAGCGTGTTCCCAAATGAAGTTATCCGATGTCAACTAGTCACACAGTATAATCAATCCGCGACTTTTAATTGGCTGTCACGTCGCCATAGAAACATGATTAGCACTCCAGCTCTTTTGACTCTTTTGTTTTGAATCATTTTCCCGGCCCGGCACCCGGCACCTTTCCAGCGATTTTTTCTTACGTGTTACTAACAAATAATGGCTTGTTCTCATAGGATTAACAACCATCTTATTCAAGTAAGAATAATTAATAGGCTCTGTATTGTTCCTTTTTTTCCTTTTTATGTTCTAAGGCCCTCAAAGCACGTGCGGAAAATTAACTACGAATAACGCACAGTTTTCAATTCAAGCCTATTTTAGTCTCATTTTATGTTTTATTTTCCTTTTTTAATGAGAATTATTAGTTTCCAGCGGATGGGATGACAGAGCGAAGGGGTAATGACTGTAAAGACTTCTATTCGTTTGATCACAAAGTTCGTTCAAGAAATGAAAGGGTGCCCCTAATGAAAGAAAATTGCACCCAAAGGTCAAAACGCTACGAAAACTCAAGATCTTTTGTGGATTATTGAACGAACCATAGATTTGTCAACACACATTTGACTAACACCAAACAAATGAGTTTGTCTAGATGGCATAAACTCCCGTGGATTGCAACTGACAGTCTTGACAAGGTGTACCACCTGGTGAAAAGCCCGTGGGCGTTTAAGTCTTCCTCCCAAATATAATTATTTGATCGTCACGAGCACCGATGTATTTATGCAAGTCAATAGTAAGTAAAACAAAACAGAATCATAACGTACAAATAAATAAAGAGAGTCAATCGAACCAATGCTTTTTAATTTAATCATCCTGATTCCGGTGGTCGATGTGCTTTAAACATACGGTGACGTAACAAGATCGAGCCCAGTTCTTTGCCGTGAATAGTGGACGGGGCCTTAAAGATTTTAAAACCATAGGTAGCTTATCAAAAACGACTGTTAATTTTGTATTCCACAAGGAGCTACAATATTTCTTCTGAAATGTGCGAATACGTGATAAATATGCAAGGAAGTGGAATATATCAAGGCGATAGTAAAACGATATTTGTATATAAACTGGTAGCAGGAGCCGATTACTTAATCGGCTCCTGCTGGTTGTAAATGGCACCCGTGTTAGCCACTTACAGCGTATGCTTGCTTCTGCAAGTTTTATTTGTAGAAAATGAACAAGTGATCCATTACCAAATTTATAATAAGAGAAAAAATTACGGATGTTCTCTTATGTTGTTTTCTTCCTGGCGTCTTTGCCTGGAACTGCAACGATGAATAATGGTGCGATAGCCGCAACGGCTTTTTGACTATTTTAAAAAATCCTGCAAAGCCTATCTTTACTATTCAAGGTAGAAGGCAAAAATGCCGTGATGGCAGTAAAAGGGAAAAAAAAGACCAAAGTAGATAAATGAATAAGTACCACTAAATGAATGAATGAATCAATCAATCAATCAATCAATCAACCAATCAATCAATCAATCAATCAATCAATGAAACGAAACAAGAAAGAAAGAACATGAAAACCCTTTTTTCTTCCCATAATGAGTCACGCTGCACCTGTTTCCCTTTGTTATGCAGCGCTTAGTGGCTCGAATGCTTTAAAAAAATACTTCTAAAAACAGTGTTCACTGTTCTGGGAGAAATGTGGCAAAGAACTAAAAAGTTTATTCCCATTAAGATCTTACCTGTACATCTTAATTCATCCCTCTACTGTTTTGTTCCGAGTAAACTTAAAAATTTGTTTATTCGATCAGTTTGTCTACCTTAGGAAGTAAGTACATCTACATCTACGTCTACATGTGGAAGGCCTAAATGTAATAACATTTTGTCATAAAAGTAACAACATTTTGTCCTAAATGTAAAAAACTCTTAAGTTGCAAATTACGGTAATTACTCAAATAAGCGCCTCATTTGGGGTATTTAATAAGCGCCGCGGCGCTTATTCTCGTAAATAGGGTACTAAGAGGTATTACTGTGGTTTTAAACGCCGCCCTCAAATAAGCGTTGTATTTTGGACAAAAAATTTAATAAGCTTCGGTGCATTTCCTTATGCACTGTGTAACTTGACGTTTACAATAAATTGCTTGTAAAGGGACAAAATAAAACAAAAAAAAAACGGGCCTTTTACTCCACTACCAGAGCCACGTGGATCATCGGTACAAGCGCAGTCTAATTACCACCATGCATGTTAGATCGAGCTTACCGCATATCTTCCGACTGGTCGTACTTCTCACAAGAATGCGATCGGCTTCAGACTGTATTCTTAAACCTTAAGTACCCTAGGCACCTATTCAATCTGGCCGTCAATCAATTCGTGGATTCCAAGGTGGCAGCCCGGCAGCAAATTCCATCAACCGACACGACTCCAGCCCCCATCCGAGTTGTCATACCATTTAAAGATCAGGTCTCTGCTAATATAGTGAAAAAACGTCTCACAGACCTCAGCTTAAAATCAAGACCACTATTCAGCTCCTGATTCAGCCTGTGTTCATCAGCAGAAAACTCAACGAAGACCTTAAATTTCGATAAGTCAAGCCAGCCATTGTTAACCAACAATGTTTATTTTATCAATTCCAATGTAGCCTGTGCGATGCAGGATATGTTGGTTATACTCGCGGCCACCTTCACGAAGGACTCGTTGATGGACACAAACAGAAATCGTCGTCAATTTGTAAACATTATCTTAGCGAACATAACTCGGACGTACCACCTTTTCTTTCAGAACAATTTCACGTGCTCAGGAAGGGTTCTAACAAATTTGATTGCCTAATTAAGGAGATGCTCTTTATAAGAAAACTCAAACCATCCCTAAACGTGCAGGCGGACTCGATTCGCGCAAAGGTATTCACTTGAAGAACTTGTGATCCTTTGTTATTATGCTAATTTGTGGAGACTATAGAAATCAAATCTTCGCATTACTTATTCATTTTGCCTTGAGAATGGTGTCATGATGATACCGAAACGTCGGCTTTTAACGTTAATATTCGCTTGCTTATGTTTTAAGAAATCGTTATTGATCAAGAAAACCTTGTAAGCCTTAAAAAGTTTTTCATACTTCATTTTTGTTAATGAAATTTACTGCAAAAACCGTAGACGAAGATCCTGTTGCTTGTCAACGTTGGATCTCTAGAAAAGAGATCTAATCAGTCAAAATATTAACAACAAAACACGAGAAGTCTAAGGACCTGTTTACATGGAGGTGGGGGACCCCAGGTAGGTGAGGTAACCCGCTTTGATGGGTAACCCGCCTGTCAACATAATCTCTCATTTTAATTTGATCGCGTTAACATGATAGGTGGGGTGACCCGCCGCATGTTACCTCACCCATCTGGGGTCCCCCACCTCCATATAAACAGGCCCTAAAGACTACTGCACAACTGATAACAACGTTTATAAATAACTAAGATAGTACGCGCGCTCTTTGATTGGCCGAGAGATGTGTTTGCATGAGAGTATGTAAACGTGTGTGGAGTAAGATGTTTTGCTCTTCGCGCGCTAATCACTCAAGCGCAAATTTTACTTAATTTACCCATTCCCTCGTCGGATGAAACTTGGAAAATCTTTACAAACGTGCTGTGCCAATTTTTTTTCTCTTAAGCTGACATTTTAAGCGAGAAAAACCCTTTTTGGTACGCATCTTTATTGCAAACAAGAACTGATTACACGTACATTAAGCTTCGTGTACGAGACTTCGCGACTGGTAAGAATTGCTCTTTTAATCAGTAACCTAAACAAAGAGTTTTTCTTTTTTCTCAGGAAAGTTATTGCCCCCGCAGGGATTTCGCCCAGAAGGCGAAATCGCGAGGAGGCACTCTACTAACTCGCGCGTAAGGAAAGTACTTACAGTTGAAATGTACAGTCATAGAGTCAATATAGAAACAATCTCAAATTTGCTTGAACAGGGGCCGCGGGGAATCGGTAGGTAATGATGACGTTTCTATTGTTTGCGCCCGCAAGTACGAAAAGGTTAGGATGACGTAGAGAAAGAACATCCTGCCGCTTAGGTAGATTTTGTGACATTTATTGTGCAGTCATACTTCGACACTCTTTTGGGTTACGTGTTATCAGTGACACTCTGTGGAGCAGTTGTTTCAGCGAAACATGGACCAAAATTTTAACGACACTCGTTAAGCGCAGAAGAAGTTATAAGGTGCGTATAAATGTGTACATATAAACACTTGGAGAGTTTGTCAGACACGAGTTCACAAATCTTTCGTTGGAAACCTTGCCAGACACTCTTTCTCTCTCTTTTACCGGAATAAGACTCAGCCCCAAACAAGCAAGACGAGTGAACAACGGCTAGCTTCTCACTAGCAGAACGATGGACGATTACAGAAATTCGCCGACAATCAAACTCTGTGCTGACTTATTCCCTGCTCACAGATGTCCTTCCGCTATAAAGTTTAAAATAAGACTAGAATGCGCGAGTGTGAATTAATCAAACGTCCTTTTAATTTCTAAGGCTTCCTTTCCGGCAAATAAAATGAACTGAATGTAAAAAGTGAAAGAAAAATAGCGAAAAATTCAACTTCCTATTAAATCTTTTCTTGTGGTTTAGAATAAACTATTTTCGAAACTGAGAATGTTTTGATCAAAGCTGTGTAAATCGACCTGAAACTGTGCATGGAACCTTGCGTTTCCTGTATTTATTTCACCCATTGCATGGAATATGTGTCAAAATCTTCCTTATGAATCGGTATATTTCAAAGAGCTACACAACGAGCAAGAATGCTATTGACCGACAATATACAGAGCTGGGGCAGCTGTAGTGTCCACTATTACTAGTTTTATAAAAGCAATAGAAAACTTTTTTCCTGTGTTTGCATAACCCGATATAAACACTCGAGAGGTTGGGAGAATTCTTGACAGTTATGCAAACCGGAGACGAAGTCGAGGGTTTGCATAAC